AGTTCCTGAAGGCTAAAGAACCCTGGGGGTGGGGGAGGGACAAAGGGAGGCAAGGGAGAAGGAAAGGCCTGGGCAGGACTTGGCACCAGAAGAGAGAGGAAACCCAGCCCACGGCCACCTGGCAAGTGTGCCCTGGTGCTGCCTTCCATTGGGATGTTCTGTCCCTCCCACGGTCTGGAAGCCCCGGGGGGGTCGAAGCCCTGAGTTTTGTCCTATTTCTAGTCTTAGTGCCTCCTAGAGGGTGGGACACAGAGCAGGGGTCTTAAGATGAATATTTGTGGATCATCTTGCCTAGGACACAGACCCCACCCAAGTCTTTGAGGCTCTCCAGGAAGCTTTGTGGCCTCTGCCCCGGCGAGTGGGAGCCTGCCACAGCAGGGGAGTGGGGTCTGATCAGGATCCTGCTCTCCCTGCACAGAGCAGGCCCGGGGTTTGGCACTGGAATCACCAGCTGGGTTTGTGGTGGCAGGTCCAGGGCCTCTCACTGTTTGGAAACACAGTATCGCAACATTAAAAGTGGCTTTCATCAATAATTGCAATAAGCTCTTTCAAAAATCATGAAGAAATACAAAATTGACTAATTCTCAAGAGCGTGAAGCATCTTTGTACCTAAATTAGCAGCTCGGCTTTGCCATTCCTTGGTTATAAAAGAATTAAGAAGTCTCTTATCTCCATGTGCAACCCATGTCTCTTATCTCCATGTGCAAATTAGTAAAAGGACAGTTTGGGAGGTCAGAGGCTTCTAGACCCTCTTATGTCTGGCACAGTGTTGGCAGGAGCACCAAGGCCCTGGGGCCACAGCCAAGAGGCTGAACTCAAGGTGTGTCCTGGAGGCCGGACTGGGGTCCGCAGCAGGGCAGACTGCCTTTCTGCTGTGTCTACAGGAGATGGCCCAGCCCCAGGCCAGGGATGCCCTTGGCGAGACACACGCAGAGCAGCCCTCCAAGCCCATCTGCAGAGGAAGCAGATGTAAGGGTAGGTCTGCCCAGAAAATGGAGTTTAAACAATCTATTATTAGCAGCGGTTCATTCATTCACGTCAGAATTGGTGGGCGCCATGAAGGACGACCCAGAGAAGAGGGGCCCATCCTTGCCCTCATAGCTCATGGCACAGTGGGGATTGGGGTAGGCACTTCTGTCACACAGGCCACCTGGCAAAAGCAAGGCAGGTGGGACCCAGAGGAGGGAAGACCAGCCAGTTGCCATCGGGAGGGTTCCAGAAGAGTCTGAAGAGGAGCCTTTGACCTGGGTGCCAGAAGGAATAGGCAGGGTTTCTACAGGGAGAGCACTCAGAGAGAAGGAACAGCCGAGCAAAGGCCTAGGGGCACGGGCTCAGTGACCAGGGACCGACTGATTAACCGGGCATGAGAACAACAGAAGGTCACCCTAAGCGTTCCGGCCTAGAACTCTTGCTGGAAGGACTGACATCATCTCCTCTGCCCTGAGCGCCACACCTCTGGACGGCTCCTCAGCAGGCCCTGTGGGCACCTAAATTCAATGCGTCTAAAATAGGACTCAGCCATTTCCTCCAGCCCCGCACCTTCTCTCAAATTCCCGCCACTTTCCACCAGATCCATCAAATGAAGAGCCTCCGAGTGATCCTCAAGTCCTCTGGCCAGCTAGCCCTGTCCCTGCGACAGGCACTTGATGGTTAATATCGGTCGAATGAATAGAATGACTGAGAGAGAGACAAGAAGTTGGCAAAGGCTCCTGTTTGCAGCGTGTCAAGGTCGAAAACAGGGAGGCCAGGGCCGGCTGTGCCGGGCCACCCAGAGCCCGTGTGCAGGCGGGAGCTGGGCCAGATCTCGGAGGGCCTGCAGGGAGGTCGGATACAGGTTTCAAAATGCTGAGACAGTGGCGTGGTGTAAATGTAGAGTCCGGAGAAGGTGGCTATGGTACAACCAGCCACTTAATGGCAGAGTTGGTTAACAGGCAGGGGAGGGATGCCAACTCTCTTCCCCCACTCCCTCTCCACCCCTGAAATTCCCACAGTGACCCTTGAGCTCCTCAAGCTCAGCCCTTCCAACTGGTGGGCAGTAAACCCCACACCCGGCCCTCTATGGAGGCCTCTAGCTTCCAACCCCAAGAGGAATGTTGGGAAGGAAGCGTGGAATCTGGGGCAAAGGAGATCTGCCACTGACCCCTGACCCCTGACCCCGATCCAGTGATCCCTATTGTTATTGACCGTTCCTTTGCTGCCCACGGGCGAGAGAGAGCAGAGAGTGAGAAGGAATTAGAGCCGGACAGAGGGCTCCCTGCTTCTTGGCCAACGTGATGACCATGATTTCCAGAGCAAGGCCTTCGATTGGCCTTGACCTGGCCCCCATCACAGAGCTGAGGGTCCTGGAGAGTCCTTGGGTGTGTCTGTGGGTGGGGGGAGCGGGTACCATCAGGAGAGAGGTCAGCTGAAGGGCAGCAGGCAGGAAAACAGTGGCTTTATTAACTAATGGGTCTTGTTGCCAAATGTTGCCCAATTTACAAGAACCCACAGAGACAAAGAGCTTCTACCTCCTGGGACAGCTCTCGTCCTCTTGTCTCTCCTCCCTCCCCTCTTAATCACATCTCAGGTTCCCCATTTGCCAGATTTCAATTCTCCTGGCCAGGGCCACACCCCACGCCCCTGGCAGAAACCTGATCTCCATGGGCATCTAATCACCACACCCACTGAGAAGAAAACATGCAGCAGGCATAGCCCAGGGAGGCTTCCAGGCAGGTGCCAGCCAAGGGCAGCCTGCAGGGTGGCAGTGTCTGGCACAGGCCCAGTCATGCAAATTTCTTCCCAGAAGGAATGAGTTCCTGTCCAAGGAAAACCCCAGGTGGCAGCCTCTGACCCCGGACCCCTTTTGCTGCCCCTCCCCTGGGGCTGCATCCTGGCAGGGAGGGGGCCGGCTCTGCAGCCTGGGGCATCCGCAGCTCAGCTGGCTGGAGGCCTCCCTGCCTGCCGCCTGCCGCCTGCTGCCCAGCGGGGGAGGTCAGGTGACCTGCACTGAGAAGCAGCTTGAGCTGGGCCAAAACCAAAAGTGAAAGTAGCACAAACTGAGGTCCCTTTAGGAGGTGCTTGCAGGAGAGCTGTGCGTTTTACTCCTAACGTGAGTATTATTACTGAAATTACTTTCTCAGGGGGCTGCCCAGCAGGTGAGTTACAGAGAGCGTTGGTCTGGGGTCCTCTCCAGGGCATCCTGTCCACTCCTCCTTAAGCTCCTTTTGAAAGCGAGAGGAGGGAATGGCTGGTGTGGCCCAGTTGGTTGGGCCTTGTCCTGCGCACCAAGTGTTGCTGGTTTGATTCCTGCTCAGGGCACATGCCCAAGTTGCTGGCTGGATCCCAGGTAAGGGTGTGCAGGAGGCAGTGGATGGATGTTTCTCTCCCTCTCCCTTCCTCTCTCTCTAAAAATCAGTAACAAACCTTTTTTTAAAGAAAGAAAGTGAGAGCAGGAGCAGAGAGGGGGAGCAGTTTAAAAAAAAAAAATTTGAGGGTAGGGGCAGAGGGGGGGAGCAGATGCCCCCTTTTCTTGATCCACGGAGTAGATCTTGATCCTGAGCAAAATCTTTCTCCAGAGAGTATTAATTTTCAGAAAAATTCATTTGGGAAGAGACTCTAAAAGTGCGGCTACCTGGTTGACCCTCTTGAAGAGAGACTTGAAGTCCCTGGAGCGTGTGGTGTTTGTGGGGGGTTGAGAGGAAGCTGGGGGTGTGGGGGCAATGGCTCTGAACCAATAGTGCTATTGCCGAGTGTTGCCCCATTTGCAAGGGAAACTCAGCAATCAAAGAGCTTCTCTCTGCTGGTCCCTCCTGCCCCTCCTTCATGCCTCGTCTTTCCTCCCTGAACCCCTGCCCCTCCTTATGGTCCTCTCCTCAACCCTGCCTGGCAGGGGCGGGCCCAGGCTCTCAGTCGCTCTGGGTCAATACCTGCCTGTCCTTTCCAATTGCCCCGTCTCTTCACTCAGGACGTGCCGTCAGTGCCCAAACACACTATCTCCCTTCATCCTGCTTCCTGTGCCCACGCATTTCTTTTCATGCCATGGTCCCGAGATGGCCCTGGGCTCCCGACCTCTCTCCTTGCCTCGTCTCCCCCACTGCAGTCCATCCCTCGGGGAATCTTTCAAGACCACAGAGCTAACAGCGGTTCCAAGGCACCTGTCCCTGCCCCTCCTCCCTCCTCCCCACACTCTGTCCTCGAGGACTCTCATGCTCCTTCCCCCTCTGGGATCAGCTAAGGCTTTCCCAACAAGCCAGAGCCACACAGCAACCGCCGGACACCCTAGTCTGGTTTCTGTTTGATTTTATCACAGGCTGTGTTTAGTCAGGGGAATTACTATTCAGTTAAAATATTGCCTATTGGGGGAAGGGGAAGGGAAGGGAAGGGAAGGGAAGGGAAGGGAAGGGAAGGGAAGGGAAAAGAAGAAAAGAAAAGAAAAGAAAAGAAAAGAAAAGAAAAGAAAAGAAAAGAAAAGAAAAGAAAAGAAAAGAAAAGAAAAGAAAAGAAAAGAAA